TGGCCTAGTTCCCCACGAGACTAGAGTGACTACATGTGGGAGTTTTCCTGGAACGGTCCTGGTTTGTGTTGTCCTGGCATAATTATTAACAGCTCACTTTTTACCCTATAGACACTGTCCTTATTTGAATGACAAATTATGAGGTTTCCCTTTATTGCATAATCTATTCAAGGAATAGACGTCATTGCTGTCCAAGAAAAGCATATATCTAAATGTACAGACTATGAATAAAAATTTTAACACCTACTTAGATAAATAATTTTCCAAGTTAAATTATTTGGCTACTAGGATTTTTTCCTATACATGTTTCATCCCTAACTTGGGGTGAAGGCTTAATTGGTGGCTCATCTTGGTAGCCAAACTCCCAATAAACTCCCTCCATACCCAGAAAATTGTACATATATACTAATCCCGTGCATGGTAAACTAAGTAGAAAATGCAAGTAGTAAAGCTTCACGCATTGAAGTACTGTGCCTTGCAGTCCTCATTCTTATCACAAAGAATAAGTCAAGTTCAACATCACAATAATCACGGAACTGAAAAGGAGTTAATCTCACATGTCTCCTGCCCTTAGGAAAGATTATTCCTAGATAACTGCAGATAGATGCCTATCACAACTCCTCTTTTTATTACCAGGCAAGGCAATATAAAGTGCTTCCCAAAGAAAATGAATGTGGCTCACTTTAGAATCTTAAGAAAATAAGATTCTAATGGATGCTTGTTGATTTAGGAAGGAGGGCCCAGTCTTGTTGCCTCACTTTTCCTTAAGCCAGGCTTATTCTAAAGGTTTGTCTTATCATCCTCAGCTCATGAGGGCATTTCTTGGGCATGCTCCACATTGCAGCCTTGGAAGCAGGAGCCAATGAGCAGATGCAGCTAGGAATAGACAGAAAAGAAAAATCCTTATTTCCTGGAACTCTTCCCTCAGGGTTCTGTTCCTTGGTTTGAACCCAAGTTGAATTATGACTGAAGTCGTACAAACTTTTTTCTCTTCACATTGAACTTTGGTTATTATAAATAAACAATTTATGAGGTACAACTTGTCCACACTCCTTTGCAGTAAGACATCACTCACGTGTAGGATCATAAAAGTGTCAAGGATATGTATGGTGTAATGTGCCTTCTGGTATAACCTCTTTAGAGTAGAAATTCCTCTGAAATTTCTTCAAAGAGAGCTCACACAATCAATTTTTCTTTCTAGAAATTAGAAAGCATTAACCTATAACAAGCAGTGAGTATCACAGCAAAGGTAGCAATCAAAAGTAACCACAGTCCTGTTAAAGAGCATAATGGAGCAGCAAACTGTTTTCAGCACTACACCTGAAACGAAATTATGATTTGTGGCACATCAAAAACAGTCTGTTGTGTTTTTCACCTCTATGGCTTTTATCCTGCTCTTTTGTTGTTCACTGTTCATAGTTGAATTCTTTCATTGTTTAGTATTATAATACACATACAATTCATGACTTATCACAAATGGGTGGTGTTTCTAAGCTGTCAGGTTTTCTGCTGCTCTTTCCTTGTTATGAGTGAGCAAGGCTTGTAGTTTGCCCTGCCTCCCATCCTAACAGCAGAGCCATTAGGAAGAAGGGGGTAGTTTAATAATATTATCCACCACAGCATACCACTGGAGATGCCAAATAAAAAGTGACGGTGGCAGCCACATCGCACATGGTAGTATCCATCCATGGTGCTCACAACCAGAGCTCTGAAGGCTGTGAAAAATCTGTCTGCTTGAGCCTTCCTGGCTTCAGTCTCCTTTCCCCGTGTAATTAAACACTCGAATACAGTCAAGCTGGAAATACCAAAAGGCTTAAGAAAAGTTTTAATAAATTCATGGATGCCCTAGCTAGAGGCAGCTATTACGTGATCACGAAAGGCCACCTTGCCTTCCCAGAGAACATCCTTACATCTGAACACTGTGCTAGGTCAAGCCCTGGTCTGATTTGCTCTAACATTGCTGGTGTCCAATGTCCTTAATTAAAATACCCCCCACAATATGTTCTCTTGAACACAATCTTACTTTAGTGAAATATTAAAATAAGATGATATGTAAATGTTAAGACACTTTTGCCAATGACTTTAGCATTAGAATCATAAAAAGATAAAAAAAAATATTTAATACCATTATCATTTTAAATGTCCTCCAATGTACTATGAAGGTTCTTCTGTACCTTTTTCCCATGGGAAAAGCATTGTTGTTATCCTTAGTATGATTTATGTTATAGTTTGATCTGTGAAAAAATTTGCCTTTCAGCTGGAGTTTCTAATATATCACATTATGCGTCACTTTTTAGTTATAATATACTGATAATGGAGATCAGTAAATCCAATTAAGTCATGTTTGCCATTTTTAATATGTAGATTTTAATTAATTTGGAAACCTAATTTTTAAAAATGGTATCTTCAGATACCTTTCGAAAAAACTGTGGTAATGTTTATATGTCTAGCAGATTCTTTTTGAAATAGAAAATTACCATGATGAGCTTGAGTAAGATAGATAGTAAAATAAAAGCTGTGGTAGAGCACATATTTTTCCCGTGTATTTTAGAAATTAGATCCATTACTATAGCTTATAAATTTATTTCATTCAGTAGTTTAAAACTTAAAGATCCTGGAATTAGACAGATGTAAGTGAGGGGAAGTGAAAAGTAAACTCTAAAATATCAGTCTTTGAAAGTTATTTTATATGTCAAAGCATTTTTTGGTAGCACAAATAGACAGTGTAAGCCAAGCTACTTTCATGAATAAATATGAGACCACCAAGGCTGCAGTGAACCGAGTTTAATTGCTCAATGGCAAGTAGGTCCTAGTAAGATTATATTAATAATAACATAAAATGTCAGTTTTATTCCTAATGGAAGTGTTTAGAAGGTAGCAGCAGTCTTCCATCTCTGATGCAGGTCTACCTTTTTGATGAAAGGATATTTTTCCATTCATAATCCTAAGCTGTCACACAAAATGTGGAGGCTCTTAAAAATATAACAATTCTGCTAGAAAACTAATTTGCCTTTACTGTGAAAACATAGCTTACCTGGCAGGAATGATCATTATGCCCTCAGTGAGCTGACTAGTTATTTATTTGAAACAAACAGAGCTCAGTGAGAAAGCAATCAGAATTTGGTCTTATTTTAATTTTTAAAATTTAACGATAAAATACTCATTTTTTTCATAGTGCACAACTTCATATGGCACAACTATATTATAAAATTATCTCATTCTAAATGGGGAAGTTCTATTGTACTTTATTTTCACTCTCTGTTTTTTAAAACTAAGTCTTTTAAGTTACCTCCTCTATAAATGCTTTTAATAAGGAATAATCACTTACATGACTGATGATTATATATCATAAATACATGATTATTTATAGACCATAATAATCATAATGGTCTGAAATTTCTTCTAAGCCAAAAATAGTTTACATATTGAAGTCTGAAAGTGTGGGAGGAGTGGTTCTTGCAAGAAAATTTTACAGTTCTTTTATCTACAAGGTGAATTTATGCTTTAGAGATGTGTAGTAACTTTTAATTAATCTCCATCTGGAATTCCTTACATAATTCAAAAGCAAAGCAATGTCATAAACTTAATATTAAGTTAATCATAGAGGCAAAAATATTCTGCGACTCTCTCAGATAGAAATATCTCAGCTTATCTTAACATAGATCTTCATCTTCCTAAATTTTTCTTGACCAGAAGTTTGTGTCCATGTGTCTTCTGCCCATCTCATATTAAAACAGTTGTGTGGTTTAGGAACTTCTCTATTGACAGAACTGTGAAAGAATGGGAAGAATATCTGAAGATGTTAGGAAGAAAATTATAGCATAGTCAAAAAAGAGTATAGTATATAGGTATTATATTTAGTATAATACTAAAACGAAACAAAAGAAAGATCTTTAATGCATAGTGCATTCTAATTCTTAAGTAAGATGAAAACGAAATGGACACTTAGATATAATATTATCAGTATTTTTTCTAAAAAGGATCTTGAAAAGTTTCCTGTGAAATAGTGTACAATAATTTACACAAGTCGCTTAGCATTTTGGGCCTTAATCTTGCCATCTGTGAAATGAAGGGCTATGGAGGAAGCTCTTCGAGGTGCCTTGCGGCTCCATCACTTTGTTAATTGCTCTACAATGTTAAGACAATGGATTTGGAAGGCAGAGTAAAAATTAAGGGACAATTTAATTATGTCATTTTATACATGTTCAGCAGTTCCAGATAAAGACTTGGTGAAAGTCTGCATTTCTCAAACATGTCTATCTGGGGTAGGGGTAGAAGCACATCAATTGGGCCCTAACCTACCCCTGGTAAATTTTAACCATGTCAGCAACATGTCTCCAAATACTTCCAGGACATAGTATGTAACTAGGTTGTCCAAGTTAAAGGTGTTTAAAGGTGTTTAAACTCATGTTCATGAATGTTATGTTGCTACATGTAACACAGATTACATCATAATTCTCGCAAAGGATCTCTACTGCCAAAATGAACCAATTTAACTCAACTATTTGTATATAACTTTATCCAAATAATTGGGAGTATCAAAATATTTGGACTGGTGTACATAAATCAATATAATCATTGATTGAATTTTCCACTTTTCAATGTTTTCTGATATAATATTATAACATGATTTTAAAAGACCTGTATTTACTATACATATTTCAGGTTCTGGATTGACTTTACTTTCAAATAAGCATTCTTCTAATGAGAATGAAAGCTTAATAATATGTAGAAATGGTAATCTTCTTTTTATTCTGATCTAAAAAAATTCAGATTTTTCTATTTTGGGTGCATATAAAAAGGATACTTTTATGTACATATTCATACAAAAAGTAGGGTAAATCTGTCCACTAACATCTATGGATCTTAGAGAAAAATATCATTAACGATGAGAACAAGATTGGGGCGGGGGAGTTATAATAGCAACAAAAAGAAAGTAAAGATGAATTTTAAAATGCCATAAATGAATTTCAATTTTAATTCCCCATTTTCCTATCCAGAACAAGTGCCACCCAGGACCAGTTTTCGAATGGATTCCTCTGGCAAGTATTCTTCACTATTCACAGTCCCGTGAACCATACATCTTCCATTTTGTGTAACAAATCATTCTTCCAAGTAGTCTCAGTTTTTTAGTATATAATCACTATACTATTTTATTCACCCACATAAACATGCATTCAAGGTACAGAGCAAATCTCATCATTGTGGGTCTGCAACAAAAGACAAAGGAATTTTCATAAAATGCTTTAGTAAAAGACTGGATTAAAAACCAGCCGCCAAAGAAAGCTGTAAGCCTGGCTAGATCCATGCTGTGCAATACAGCAGCCACTGGCTAGATGTGGCTGTGGGGCACTGAACATGTGGCTACGCTAAAGGTGGATGTGCTATGAGATATGTGTAAAACCCACGCTGGACTTCAAAGACTTAGTATCCCTAAAAAAAGAAAAAAAAAAGAATATCTCATTATTTTTATATTGATTTATGTTGAAATAATATTTCAGATATATTGTTAAGTAAAATATATTGTAAAAATTGATTTTACCTGTTTTGTTTTGGTTTTTATAATGTGACTACCAGAAAATTTTAAATTACTTATGTAGCTTACATTTTATTTATATTGGACAGCACTAGGCTAGGTGGAGATAAGAGGCTAGAGGAGCGCAAGAGATTTTCAATTTAGACATTTTCAAAGACCTTAACTAAAAATTTTGCTTGTATAAAATGAAATTATTTTCAAATCAATTAAATACCTATATCAACTTGACTTTTTTAAAACCATTCCAATTACAAAATGCTCTATTTCAATAGGATTTTAAGTTAGGATAGAATATTATAGTTTCAAATTCAAGAGCTGTTAGTGATAATTAATTTGCTTAAATGGAAATTTCTTTTTGACTTAATCATTCCAAAAATACCAATTTTGATTTAGGCTAAATTATTTAACATTATTGCGAAAACAAAGGAGGAAAAAGAAGATTCAGAATTTTTTTTTTTTTTACTCTTAGAATTAGTGATGGAAATACTTTGAATAGCTGATTAGACCACTGGATTGAAAGGCAGAACACTGAAACAATGGCAGAAAAGAGAGTTTAGTAATAATAGCACTATTTCAGGTCTGTGGACTCACAGCACACATCTCTAGAGTGTTTCCATGATGACAGCTCATCATCCATCTCAGCATGTTCTAACACCCCTCGGAAAATATATGTGCTTGAGATCATTTCATTCTGTAAATTTCCATGTCATTTTTTTTGGATATGCAGAAAATATAGAAGATATTGCTTAGCATTTTGTCCTCAAATAATGTCTAAATTATTTGTTTAGCTTGGTCTGAAAATTTTAAAGCATGATTATTCTTATACACTAACTGTCAAAATCCTTGTAATTTTGAAAACTATCATATGCCCAGAGAGAAAATGGGACCTAGTAATTACAGTTGCTAAATGAAATCAGGGTTTAATTTAGAATTCTGAATCTCAGCTTATTGGCCACAACAAGCACATTTTCTGAAAATCTCAGATTCTGAATGTACTTTAGTTAAAAAGAAAAGAAGAAAGGCAGAGCCTCCCAATAGTGTAGATTACCTTGATATATATGTGAAGTGATATTTTACATTTTTTAAAAAATACATTACTTAAAAGACAAAAGTTGTAGTTTGAGTATATTATTATACTACTATACAATCCAGATTTTCAAGAAAAGAACCAATCCAAATATTTTGTTTAATGTCGACACAAGTTATCAAAATATTCTGGAAAATTATGAATGCATCCAAAATAAATAGATCTCTCATATTATTTCTCACATTTATAAAGTGTCCTTTATCAAATTATGTGTCATGATTTTTGATTCCATTATATTTGTCATAATTATAAGGTATATTGTTAACTTTATCTGCGTAAGATCCTTAGGTACAGAGGTAAAATTGATAGTAAGAAGTCCTAACTAATGTATTTATTAAACTAAGTGATAGATCCATAGTGTAATAATGCTATGGTTCATTGGGTCTAGCAGATTGGTGAGTGCCTTGAAACAACTAAATTCAAGAAACATCTATTTAGCAATTCCTACAGGCTATGTATAATGGAACAGTATAGATAACAAAGATAATTGTGTCATCACTGAGGGAAAATATCAGTGAGAAACAATGGAATCTGTGGCCAGAGACTTTGAATGGGCAACTCCACCCGAAGACAAGAGACTGAGGGAGTGGAGTAGCACAGACACCACTTCCAAAGGAGACCTTTTCTTGTTTCAGATCAAACGAAATCTGAAGTCAGAAAGGCTGCATCAATAGTATCAAATGAGACACTGAAATCAATCAGAATGAGGAAAGATAAAAAGGTCATTTATTTTTTTCATTAGGATGTCATCAATGACTTTAAAGAGTTCAGCAATGCCAGGAGAGCATAAACCAGACGGGCAGAAATGAGTCAGAGCTGGAGTGAGGGCTCCACTGGGGACTACTTTTCCGAGAGAGGGATGGAAGGGAGGAGCAAGGTGGTATTTAGGAAGGAGAAATTTGAGCTTATTTGAAGGCTGAGGAAGAGAATCAAATAAAAAATGGGAGTGGCTTTTCCTATGACTAAAATATGCCCAGCTACATTCACATTACCACAGGGATAAAGGAGAGAGGTAAGAGAAGGAATTCTTTCAAGGCAAAGGACATTAGCTACTTATCAAGTAATGTTAGATTTGAGCAATAAAGACTATTTAATTCCTGTTTAACTCATTCTGTATCTGGACTGCATGGAAATCCAGAAACCAGGGACATGTTTAGCAACCTTCTTTGATTCCTGATGCATTTCTTATACTGTCTGTCCTAGATCTATTTATAGGGAAAAGCCAAAAAAGTAAGGTTCTTTCCAGCAGGAAAAATTCAATAAACGCATTCTCTGTGCCAAATTGAGATAATAAGCCATGGTGCTTATGTTTTAATTAAAACATGAAAGGGGATTCAAGTACCAAAATTTAATTGACATGTTTACAGCAGTATCCCATGTGCCAAATTAATTTATAAAAATGTCATTCTTTGCATTTTTGAAGATTGAATCCATTCATAAAATTAATCAGTTGTGTTTAGTTACCCAGCCTTTTCCCTGATACTGTGCACAAAGCTATGTCTTTCAAAAACAAGACCAAGGATACATATACTATGTGAAGTCCATGGGGTCTTAGTATGAAATAGGAATCGGCTTTCGAAATTCTGCTTTTCTTTACCATGAGGGAGGTTGTCCTGATACCTGGATGCGGTCACCATTTGCTACTTTTTAAATATTAGCATTTGCAACATCAGTGTGAGCCCAGGATAAATTAGGACTTAGAAATTCAATTTCTGTAACTTGCCATAGTGGTCATATAAAATCCCATGTAGGAAGAGTATCATGAGATGCTTTATTTCATAATGCTTCAGCATCCTAGGACCCAACTTCTAAGAAGGAAGCAACACTGGCCGTTGCTGGCCATTGAACACTAATGTTGAAAGAATATTTTATCTCCCCTTCCTCCATTCTTCACAATCACTGCCTCCTCTTGAGCTGCACCAAGCAGCACCTGAGAGTACAGGCCCCTGACAGTTTTGCAAAAAGGGTTGTAGAGACAGAAGATAAAAGAGAGCTCAGAAAAAATAAACAAGGAAGCAGAAGAGAAAAAGGATGTTGGTGGGGCATAGTTGAGCGACATCCAAAGTGATTCAGGTCCAGATAGGTATTTACTAGGCCCCCTCATATAACAATATCTCAAGTGCATAGTTTATTTATGAACAAGAGAGTGGAGTCGTGATCATTAGCTCTGTTGCAATGGGGTGAAGAGTTGCCCCTTGGATTTCTTCACTTTAAGTTCTTGCATTAATAAGGGAAGACATAAAGCATGATACAATGATCAAAACATGCCATCAGGCCAGAGGAGCAGCTAGGGGAAAGTATCAGAAACATCATAATCTTCCAAGAGACGTAACAAAGCAAGAAGGAAAAAGAATAATGTCTCCCAGCTTTATACATATAATTTTAGTTATTTTGTAAAGCCAGAGTCAAAGAGGGAGGAAAAAGAAAAAAAGAAAAATTATCTTTCTAAAAAGCTCTTATTTTTCATTGAAAGAAAATATTGCTGCCTCAAGGCACAATCTATCATTTCAACTTTTTTTCCAGTTGACTATTTCTCTAAAGTTTCCATGCCCTGCAGACTCTGAGTCTGTGTTCAAAATTAACAGAGAAATAAAAAATAAATCACGTCTGCTGGCACACTTCTCTAAAGGGTGGCTCTTTGCCTCTCTCTACTTGCTCACGTGCCATTAAGCTGGCCATCTTTGCCTGGAAGGATGAAGAGGAAATGGCTGGCACCATGCCACCCTATATTTGAAATCAGGATGGGTCAGAGCAACAGAATTGTAATTCTCACCGAAACTCACATAAAGGTTAGGAGAAGGGGGATAAATGCCTTGCTCACATCTCTGTTCTTCAGAGTTAAATAAAATTAACCAGCTAAAATCTAGATTTTTTTTCCTTTAAAAAAAGTCCTGGGGGGAAAAAAAAAAAAGAAAAAAGAAAAAAAAAAGTCCTGGGTTATTTATTAAGGAAAAGCTTAATTCCCTTAGGAATCACAGCATTTCCTGATATAAAAACCACTTGGACCCTGACACATCTCAAAATTCCATTACTGGGATTGTCATAATTTCAGCATTTCCTTAGGGGGAAAGTTTTACTTAGCAAATAAGATGAATCACACAGTAAATTTTTTGAGTTCCTGGTGCAATATGAATGGGTTCTGAAATCACTGGAGGAAAAATTTCTTAGCAGCAAGGCATAAGTGAGAAGAATATAGGAGATGAAAAGTTCCAGTTAAATATATGCTGGCTCTATCATTTTCAGTGTCAAAAATATATCACCTTCTATCTGTATTTTTTATGTATATATAATCTAGAGTCCTCCAAGCTTATAGTGACCTAGAGAAGAAATTGCTGTGAGCATTTGTATCATGATCAACTTACAGAAGTCTGAACAATGACTGAGCATTATCTGTCATCTCCCATCTCCCCGTGCCTTTCTCCATCCCTTGGGAGGAGTACAGGTACCTGCTATGATTTTGTAGGACTGCTCCGTCTGCCTCCAGACTGCCAAAGGTTTAGCACACACCCCAATGTGTGATTTCGTAGATGATATTATAGACACCAAAATAAACTGAGTTCAAAAGTCAATTGTGCCTCGTAGAGTATAGGGCAAAGTTGCCATCTTCCCTGTATCACCAAACTCTACTTCATAGGAACTGAATTTTTCTAAGTTCTCCTGTCTTTAAAATATGACTGATTATATAATTTATAAAGGATGACTAAAGGACATGGAGCTCTAATTGGTTACCTCTCTTTGAGGGTTGTATATTATTCATTGAATGGAAAAGACCTTGGTCATATGTGCATTTGGTCATAAGAAGGTGTGTGAATGGTCATTTTGTCTTGCCCAATATATACATACACATGTATTTATATGCCTCATTCAGCTTTTTTTAAGAGAGCACAAGACAAGTGATCAGCACTTGCCTACATATTAGAAATAAATGACTCTCCTTTCATACATCACTGGGAATAACCCGTGTTGCTGGGCACCAAGGCAAGCCCAGTATCATTGTGCTTTATACACTGTATCACTTAGCAGCCCTGCTCACTGCAGCACCTGGACAAGATTCACCTGGCCATCATTCAGTGAGTCTCTCTCTATTGTGCCTGCTATTTTACATCCAGGTGACTCAGACATAGACTTTTTTCCCATGCGGATTCTCTGAAATCCCTCCTTAATTTCCAAAACTGTCCTTTTTAAGCAAGGGGAATTTTACTTAATACGTGCTTCTAAACTATTAAGGCCCGGAAATCACTAAATATTTCTTAAGCAAAGGATGGCATGACAAATATTTCCCCAAATCAGTGATTATCCAGTGACATCCTAGCAGTGAGCATGAAAGTATGCACAACACAGTCATGATTGCAGCACTGCCCCCTGAGGAGGGTGCAAAGGACCAGGAGCAGGGTATAAGTATAAATCATATTCTCCTTAAAATGTCAAAATATTTTTTATAGTTTTAGTTTACTCTAGGGCTGGAAAAATGACATTCAGGAGAGTTTCCTACCTTATTCTTAAGTACATTTCTGTTCTTTCGGCTGACCTCCGAAAAGTATTCTTCTTCTAATCTATTTTGAGTACGCTAAGGAAGTCAAAAGTCAATTAGTGGCTTCCCCATTCTAAAATGTTTGGGGGATAAGAGTTCATCTTAAACCCAGATGAATTTCTACCTGTAAGTTCTGAAAAACATAAAGGAATTTTTCATGATATAAACACTTCTCTTAAACCCCAACAGAGAAAAGATTAAAGTCTTTATTTTCTAATTTTTACAATCTTAGACAACTTTTATTGGGCATAAGCTTATCCCCCACCCCCATACACACACTCTCTCTCCCCTAAACTGGATGTTTCTAGTCATAAAGAGATAGTAGTAAAATCACTACATCTTTACTAAGCAGTTTCAGGGTTTTGCCATCTGTTCTCTCTTACTTCTGTAATAATCATGCTAATCAAAGTAAACATCTTCAAATGACAGCCAAGCTTCTTGAGGGCAATCCAAATGCTCTTAGGAAAATAAAGAGTTATAGAGGCATCAATTTTTTTTCACCTGGAAAATCTGTGGTCTCTTTCTGCTTATGGCGACACCCTAGTGGTGCCTTTGGCTGGTTGCTATTGTTCCAGGGACACCTAATTTTGGAAGACCTACTTTTTTGCTACCATATTTTTTGTATCCTCTATGCTCTCCATCGACTCTAACAGCTTTCTCATTAATCACGTCCACAAAATTAATTTATCACTGGTGTGTTCAGTTCCTCAGGGGCTGGTGGAAGCCAGATTCATTATTCATTGGGATCTCCTTTATGCCAGGTCCAGATTATAAGGAATTGGATGTTCACCTTCGGAGGATGGAGTCTGGATTTGGCTTCAGAATCCTTGGGGGAGATGAACCCGGACAGCCTGTAAGTTGAATCTCCTTTATTTCCATGCTTTGGGTTCTGTGTGTGTGCAGGCACTAGGGAAAATATCATTCAGTGTGACATATAAAGGGAAATGTTTTAGGACTCACATAAAAGGTTTAAGGCTTGGTTTTTTCCTTGCTATTCTCTTTAAAAACGACCTCACAACTTGCAAATATCTCATCATAAATCACATTAAGAGAGGTACATTATCGTTTTTAGAATGAAGTGGATTCCTCTTGAGTATTTCAGTTGTTTACTTGTACTGGAGCCCTGGTATCTTTGGACAGCAGCTCGTGGGTAGACATGCAGTATGACAGAGGATCCCTGTGAACAGGCGACTTGGAACAACAGAACTATGTGTATTTTCAACCAAAACAGCAAAGAAGAGAAAACACAGGGATAAACTGAAGTAAAATCAAACCCAATGTTACAGAATTTCATGTAGATTTGAATTAAGGGATTACCATGAGACAATGTTCCCAAAGTCAGCTTCAATTGGCACAGTACTGGGAATTTGGAAGGGGCTCTGGAGACATCTTTTTATATACATGTATGTGTTTATACATGTATGTGTGTATATTCAGAGTAAAAGCAAAAAATGGCAATAGTTACTAATACACAGAAAACACAGCAAGGCTAGATTATGAGCATGTATTAAAATATCAGCTATAAAACACTCATTGTAAAAGATGTATCTTAAATGTTACCCAATGTGACTAAGTCAAGTCCATGAAAGTTTTGAATAAATGAAGATTCTGTGCTGTGCAGCCAGATGTCTGCACCCCATTTCAGCTCTGGCAGCCGCACCCCACCATAGCTCACGCAAGGGATTTAAACTCTAAGCTTCAGTTTTCTCATCTGCAAGATGTGGATAACAATAATCCTTGCTCATAGAGTAGCTTTAAGGATTAAAGAAGATAACATATGTAAAGGTCTTGGCATTGTGCCTGGATCATATTAAGTGCTGAATAAATGCTTATCATTATCGGCTTTGTCTCTCCTTTTGCTAGATTGTTCCGGAAAATAAAATTAAAAATAAAACATGGTCAGAAATCTTCAGGAGAAAAAAAGTTAACCTAACAAATGAAATTAATTGTTAACAATTAAAACCATCCCAAAGTGAAGCAGATTTCCTCGGTAGAGAGTGGGCTCCTGCACACAAGAGGAATTCCAGCAGAGTCAGCGAGAACTTGATGGGAACTCCAGAGAGGCTTCCTCTCCTGCGAGAGGAGTTGGACTAGATGATTGATGAGGTCCCTTTCTCCAGAGAATTCCAGGAGGCTGAGCTTGGACTTCAAGGATGAGGGCACTCCAGAAAAAAAGATTTATTTCCTAATTCCTGGGAATAAAATTTGGCAACAGTCAACTGGAATGTCACTAATTCCCTGGCTGCCAAAATAGATGTGAATGTGCATCTGCCAAGAAGGATTGGCCAGATCTTCTTAGGTAAAACATAGGGCTCAAGTCACTCCAGGCTTCAGTTTTTCTCTGAGATTAAATTGAGGGTCCCATGCTGTAGGTACAAGAAGCAAATCTTGGTTTCACTCTGCTCCCATTCACAGGTTTGTTCCCCTCTCCCTCTGTCACCTGATTCTGAGTTTACCAGGGGTCCTTGGTCACCTAGTCAGTCCTCCAGCTTCCCTCCTCTGTATAATTCATCTTGTTCTTTATAGAAAAAACTGAGAACACTATCAAGTCCCTTCATGTATGTAAGCATTTAACACAGTGATTTATACTCCAAAGCCTCAGAATCGTTCTCTAACATGTTTGTATGTCTACCTATGTTGTTTAATCAGCAGGGTTTTAAATTTCTTCTAAGCAAGAACTTAATATCACCCTTTTTATTCTACTTTGGTGCCCCATAAATTAAAAATGTGTCATTATCCAGAGTGAACCAACCTTGAGGTGAAGGTCACAGTCCTCCAGACTGCCACATCTGCACAAGATTCCTCACATCAACTGAAATGAATTTGCCAAACTGCGAAGTCTAAGGGAACAGTCCCCACAGACTGCCCCAGGTTTACACATGGGCTATAAATTCGTGGGTCCCCACTATGTAGTGGGTTCACTGGTTACTAACTTGTTTGGTGGGACAGAACACTCACACACACATACATTACATGAATTGGGTTTATTGCTTACAGATAGGCAGCAAGAGAAAACAGAATCCTAGGGTTCATCATGATCCGGTCACTCATAGGCCAGGAGTGATGCCCAGGACAGATGGAGTCTCAACTGTACATGCCCCACTTGCACCACCACTAAAGGACCCCCAAAATCAACCCACCGTGGGTTTTACGCTCTGGAGAAATATGACTGACTGAGCTAAAGCACTGAAGGGCATCATATTTCTGGAGGGGACTAGGACAGAACCCAGGCTGTTCCAGCCAGCCCCTCCTTATATCAGGATGTTGCACTCCTAGTACAAGCTATAGTTATTCTTGAGAAGTACAAGAAAGAAAGGGGGAGAACTGGGTCAGTCCAAGGCCACCCAGAGAACTGTCCTCTACCCACACCCTTCTTCATGTTCAGTAATTCTTCAGAATTCTTCATTCTTCTTCATGTTCAGTAAGTGCCATACTTACGATTATGGTTTTATTATAGTGGAATGATAAAAATTAGAAACAGCAAAAAGAAGAGACACATAGGACAAAGTCTGGAAGGGTTCCAAATGTGAAGCTTCCATCCTCCTTAGGGACATGGTGCGCTCCCAGCACTGACAAACAGAGTATTGCCAACTGGGGATGCTCCCCAGGCTTTTGTGTCCAGGGTTTTTACTGGAGTTTCATTACATGGGCATGATTGATTGAATCATTGACCACAAGATTGACCTCAATCTCTAGCCTCTTCTTCTCCCCATAGATCAGGCTAATATCATGTGGTTCTAAGGCCCAGCCCTCTAATTACATGGTTGGTCTTTCTCATATGGTCAGCTGCCACCCTAAGACTTTTGGTGTGGCTGGCCCCATCCTGAGTCATCTCCTTGGCATAAGCTATCAGGTATGATATCAGATATCATCAAAGGGGTCACCATAAACAAGGTTACCTTTCATGAACCAGGAACAATGGCCAAAACTCACTTTGGGCTGAAGCAAAATTCTTTATGAAAAAGCCATAGGCTTAAAAGATACCAAATAAATAAAACAATTAAACCATGCTCAAAATAAAATACAACTGCAAGATTATTTTTTATAGCATTTCATGGGATACTGGGCACTAACCAAAACAACTGCTGGGCATTCAAGGGTAAATCCATGTAGAATCCATTGCACTTATACTTACATAATACTCCAAACTTACCAACCTAAGGGGTTTCCACTAGAAAGACAAACTCCCTGTTTGTTCTGGAATACACTGACTGGCATGCTTCTTTTTCCTCATACCAATCTGTGAGCTCCTTGAAGGCAAAGGACGATGGTTTAACGGTGTTTATGTCCTCCAAGCCTAGCTTGGTACAATAAATATTTGTTAAACAGAATTGAAGAGAGTACTTTTCACCAAGCCAAAGCTGTCACCTGAGCTTCTCAGAAAAAATAATGATCTGGAGTTTACATTTTCTGGGGCCTCTAAATCCTATAGCCCCTGTAGAATTAAAGTGGCCTAGTCCTAGAAGCAGAGATGGTGTCCTGGCAGCCTTACAACATGGTTCATTTAGTTCCCTCCATGTTTTAAAATTGTTGAGCACCTACTAATTTCACATTTAAAAATTTTTTTATTTTCATCTTGTCTTAAAAAACAAATCTATCAGTATTGAGCTTGCCTTTCTCCATGACAACTGGCTGGAGCTAAGCAGTGGCCCCTTTTATACTGAGCCTGGCCACAGTTCCCAAACTCCCTTATGCCTGTGTTACTCATTTAGGCTACTATCTTTAAGACTCCCATCCCAGAGGACTGGATTAAATGAAAGAAATTGGAAAGATGAATATTTTATGCCAAAGGAGCTTCAACCAGGGCCAGATCTTTATAGACCACAAGCACTGAAAATAGTATCAGGTCCCTTCTCCCATATATAAATACAAATAAATGATTAAACTATAAAATAAATGTAAGGCAAGGCAACAATGTTCCAATTCTTCCCATGACACTTACTTTAATACAGTCTTTGAAATATGAAATTCTTACTTTGCTGGAGCCCTAGGCTCACGCTTCATCTGCTTTGGGGATAAACCAGCACCCCATTCAGTAAATATTAATATTATCTTCACCTGCCCCCTCTGCCAGCAGTAGAAGGGATTGCATGACTGAGGCATGGGGAGAACATAGACTTGGCTGGCTCAGGAAGAGAGTGGTCTTGCTGGACTTTGCCTGGCACAGGAGCAATAGAATTGTTACCAAGATGGAACATGTATTGCTCATAAGGAAGCTCAGGTGCGTGCACACAGCCATGATCACCACTCAGCCTCAGGACATCTTTCTGCCCGGTTTGTACACAGATCCCCAGGCTCCCAACCCTTCCGAATATTGGCTTTGCATTCCCAAGTCCTTCCTCCCCTCCAGGGAGTAGGCATCAAATATTTATGATAAGCCTCCTAAGATTACATGGATTGCTGGTTATCCTATTATGTTTATTTAGATTTATTCTGGTTTATTCCTTCAGTGAATGATTTAAGACACACTCCTGCTGCATGTTACAATTTTGACATTTAAGCCATAAAGAAGACGCCTAAATCTCCCTGAAGCAAGCAAAGCCAGAAAAATGAGTTTTGAAAACCAGAATATGGTACCTCAAAATGACCATATCAGGAAGAGTGAGTCTACTGCGAAGATCTCCCATAAGCCTTTCCTTCCTGTTTTCCTACATTCTAAGTCTGTAGGTAACACACAAACAAAATGCACTAGCCTCATTTAGTTGCCGGTGTGCTACAAAGGGAGAGGCGTGTCAGGTGACTTTGTCCCCAACTAAAGGAGGTCTCCTAAGTACATCAAATGGGTTTCTGCCTCCACATATACAAAATGGTATTGACATCCCAGGGTGCACATTAAACGTGACAGCATGGCTTTTGGCAAATAATGAACAGCAGGACTCCAACTCACACAAAGTGTATGGGCATTTTTCCTGCAAGAGGAAATACTTTTCACAGTTAAATAACAATAGAAATAGAAAGAAATGAAAAATTGCCATAAAGGAACAAAAATGGGATTTCCAGCTGTGAACTGAAAAGAGCTCGAAAGGCATCAAGATGGAAAGATCTGCAAAACACTGCAGTGGAGAAAAGCCATTCAAAGAAAGAGATAATGATAGACCTGCTCCTTGGCACAAGAGTCTGGTACAAACTGGTGGAGGAGTTGCCAAAGGAAAGAGGCTGAAACCTGCTCGTCACAGTGTCAAGTTGTCCCAGGCTACAGTTATTGCAGAGCAGATCTACTGGGGTTGGACTAACACTGGATAGATAGTACAGGAAAGAATTAAAGGGATTAAAAGGACTGGAAAGGTGGTTTTAGTTTTGTTGTGTCTGTCTTGTTTGGTTGAGTTTTTTTTCTTTTTAGTATCGGGTTTTCCCTGTGGCTTACTGCGATCTTGGCCACTTGAACGTGAATTGCTGTTATTTCACATCAAATGCTCTGTTTTGTTCTGTGCCCTCAAAGCCTAAGTAAAGTAGAGTTGTGGAGTTGTTTTGTTTCTTTTGTTTTTTAGAGAAGGCAATTGGAAAGATAGGGCCATGGATCAGCTGTTCATGGGAAAGGTCTTTCTTGATCTGTTTTGCCACAAAGCTCTTCCTTCAGGGCCAAAACAATGGGGATGGGATAAAAAGCTCCTCTGAGAGCACAGAGAAGAGAAAGCTGAAGAGTGGGACTGAGGATCAGCTGAGGCCGAAGAGTCCAGTGAGGCTAGAGGGAGGTAATGAATGGGGCAAGGCTGGGAAGCCTCACTGGCCAGTGTGGCCAGAGGTCAGCAAGACCAGAAGGAAAACATGGCCTGGTGGGTGGGGGAGACCAGACTAAGCACAGGGGCATGGGGGTCAGCAGACCTGGCAAGTGACTATTGTGATGGGTCACGGAGCTCAGGCCCTGCACCTGGGAGAGAGTCTCTCAGCAGACTTGGGAAGTAGCCAGTGAGACCACAGACCCTGTGGCCATTGGACCAAGTGGGAACAATCAGAGCCTTGCTACTCATAGTGTGACTGATCTGTGGACCAGCAGCATCCAAAACTCCTGGGAGCTTGTTAAACAGACATAGTACCAGGCCTCACCCCAGGCCTGCAGAATCAGGCTGTCGGCAGGGAGGCCCAGAACTGTTTTAACAAGTTCACCATGTAATTCCTGTATACCCTAAACTCTGAGAACTGCTGACTTAAAGGGTCGGATATCCTGAGGCATGTTCTCAAGAGCTTAAGCAAACTTGAGAGTGTGTGTACATTGGGAAGCCAGCATGAGTTACAGTGGAAGAAGGAATCATAGATTATTCAGTCCCTAGAGTTACGGTGGCAAATGGGAAATAATAGAATGTGTCAAGTGTACAAATCATTTTCGAAGTAAAGAAAAAAAATTGTGATTTTTTTTCTGAATAGAAAAATACATAAAGCTATCTCTGTGTCAGTAGTGAAATATAATGCACAAAGGAGCTAACTGCCAAAGGCTAAGGAGCAACAGCAGCGTGAGAGCTGGAGGCAGTCAGGGTGCGAATGGGCAGCCTCTGCGCAGCAACGGCAACAGTTGCAGGTGGATGGAGCAACACAGCTACACGATAGAGCCAATGGACAAGCATCTGCGATGCTACTCAGTGCACCATGCTCAGCTCAATTCCAGTTTATTTAATATCTGTGGCAACCTTTTTTTGAAATAAGGTGGAAGATAATGTAATTATAATATATATGCATAGAAAAATATATAATACTATATAACAAAATATACCAAAGTGTTATATTGAATACACTATTTATTTAGATATTCCATTGTAGTAACTGAATATACTGTTTATTTAGAAATAAATATATAGAGGCCTACTCTAACCCACTCTAATACCACCTCCACCACATGACTGACACCCCCCACCTTGCTCTATTTTTCCCATTGTACATGCCTTATAGCCATGCCATATAATTTACCCACTTATTGCATTTATGGTTGACCACTAGAATGCAAGTTCTTTTGTTTATTAACAAAAGTTTATGTTTATTAACAAAAGTCAGAAACTTTTTTTTGTAGTTCTCTGATGGATTCCTAGTACCTAAGAGTATCCTGGGCTTAATGAATATTTGTTGAATAAATGAGGAGAGTGTCTCAGATCACAGCACTATTGCAGAAAAGCAGATGCTTTGCTGGGCTCTTCCTTCTAATAAATGATATTAAACTGCCAGCACAGAATGTAACTTCAAGAATATCTGTATATCTTGCTGTTTATCTTGCTGTTCTCCTGTGGCAAAAGAGAAACAGCAATTTTCCAATGTGAAATTTTACCTTTACTATAATATTTTTGTAGAGGCCCCAATAGCAGCTATGGCTCTCTCAGTTATAACTTCTATTTTTTGTTTCTCTTTCATCAGTTCAAATCAGAACTATATCTTAATATTAATAATTAACCATTCAAGAAAAAGTTCACAAGAAATTTTTTTCCTCTATAATTAGGTATAAACTCTCCCACTAACATATACAGGAAATCTAAAGGTTGAAGCGTTTGCTTAGGGCCAGACCAACTAAATGCAGCTTTTTCATGGGCAATGGAGAAGCATTAATATTTATTTTAACTGGCTTTTGCACAAAGCACTTACCAAATCTTTGAAACACTCCACAGTGGGTTGAACCTTTTGAAGAATAGATTGGAACATGTTTATAAAGAAACTCACAAATTCAGGTCGGCATGACCGTGGGGAAAATGGAGAATGTCAGAGCATGCCCGACTGCTGGCCAATAGCAAATGGGTGCGGTGGGTTTCAGGGGAAGAGCCTCGTGGTGCAGGAGGTGTGAGGCCTGTCCTGCGATAGCGATAAGAGCCACTCATCAGAGCACTAATATATTCAACATGGAAGCAAATCTATTCCTCACCCCACCCCAACCCCCAGGAATAGGGGAAAAGCAGTAGCAGTGTGGGGATGTTCATTCCATGGAGAAAGAGAGCTACTCGATAGGCCGAGGCTGTGAGGTCTTCAGACTATAATTTTACCTACACCTGAGAAGTCCTGGCATGTGGATCTGGTTGTCATGTTGACAGGCCACACAGAGCAGTGTGACTAAGTGCTAAGGAATCGTCCTGCTGCCACACCTGAGGACATGCAAGCCGAGTAGCTGTCATCCACAGATATGGAATTTGAAAGAAATTATCGTGCCTGAAAGAAATCAATCTGTGAGCAAGGGATCATTTTATAAGCATTTAAAATAAAACCTGGAGTAAGTCTCTGTAGTATCATCAGGCTAATGGTAAGCACTGCCTTCAGATGCTATATGTCTAAGCCACTGGCAGAAGAAAAAGGGGACCTATTGTCCCTGAGTTGGAAGAACTGTTTGTAGATTAAACAGCAAAACTAAAATATTTAGTACTATTCTTTTATCCTCTGAGAAAGAAAAAAGCCTTGCTAATGAACACTAACCTGAGTGCTTCTAATGAGACGTGGGAAACCTTATGTGTTGCCTTTCGTCACAGTGCCTGGTTCGGAGAATTACAGCAACAATAGCAATAACGGCATTTCCCAGACAGCTACCTCCTCAATTCCTGGCATGGTAGCCACCTAAACAGCAGAAGCATTTCAAGGGACAGGCAGAACTGGGAATGTCCTTTGCACAGAGGGCAGTGCTCTGAGGAATTCTTTGAAAAAATAGAGCAAAAATGTGGAAAAGGTTTGACTGAGATTTTTTTTGAGTAAGTCAACTGAACAGAAAAAGCCAACTCTGAGTTTTGCTTTTTCTTTTGTTTTCTTTTTACCCTCCAGCTTTTCAAAGCAAAGAAGAAAAAAAAAAACTTCTAAAGCTTTATCAGTTTAATAAAATACAGCATCTCCTTTCCCCCGGGCTCTTTTTGATCACTCACTATGTGCAATGAAAAAAGTTAAATGCTTCGCATGAGTTATTTCATTCAATTCCCCCAATAACTCCACGAAGTAGGCCCCATTATTATTTTCCCATTTTGCAGGTGAAGAGACTGAGGCTCACAGAGCATGAGAAGGCCACACAAATAGGAAGTGGAGCCAGGATTCAATCCCCATGTTGTTTCCATCCAGAGCTCATGAGTGATGGCCAATTAGCATCTGATTTTGAGGGGTTAGAATTTTCCTTCAGGGTGACAATTTATAAGCCAGGTAGCAAGTGTCCCCCAAACTTCATGGCAATCAGCATCCAGTTCAAAACACTTATTTCTCTAGAAAAAAGGAAGCAACCTGCAAGAGTTGGAAGGGCATCCTTCAACCTCTCAATTTTTTACTTTTCAAGTGCATGTTCAAGTTTGGGGCAAGGGATAGAATGTGAGAATAATATCTTCCACGAGTTACATAAATATATATAAAAAGAAAAGAAAAGGTTTGAAATGTGAATGTCCTTTCCTTCTCACTGCTTCTCTAGATTTTGATTGGAGCCGTCATTGCCATGGGCTCAGCAGACAGAGACGGCCGCCTACACCCGGGAGACGAGCTCGTCTATGTCGATGGGATCCCAGTGGCTGGCAAGACCCACCGCTATGTCATTGACCTTATGCACCATGCAGCCCGCAACGGGCAGGTTAACCTCACTGTGAGAAGAAAGGTGCTATGTGGAGGTATGTACCTGGAGTCCGCAGCAAGATTTCAGGGTTAGGTGGTGAGATGCTTTTTGTGAGACACGGTAAGGGTACTTGAAACAAAATTTTAAATCAATTTCTATATTATTTGAAGAAATAAACAACCTAGATATTCCCAAAGTAATTACGATTTTGAAAGTCCAGATTTTCACCCCACTAGTAAAAAAATCCAAACAGTCCTTGAGGCCTATGTTTTAAATGTAGTCATGAAAAATGTGTAGCAAAGCCTGGGGCTAATTTAAGGTATTTATGCTCTTTGCTCTTTGGTAGATGCTACTTCTAAGAAGAGCATTATAGCAGTGGAAAATATGCCTTTTGAAAATGTTCCTCTTTGTGTTTACTAACCAAGAAGCACATTTCGATGCCATAATAAAGCAACCAGGATAGAAAACGAGCTTTCATTGTACAGCCTGATAAAAAGGTAACAATAAAACTGTTACCCTGATACAGAAAAATACGGCTGTACCTCACTCTGAAAAAACACAATTCGTATAGTTCCAAACTTATGAAACAGATAAATTAGAACTACTTATTCCCTTTACGACCATTTTCTCAGCTTCATAAAAGAATCCACCAAAGACATGCTTTTCAAAGTCGGCCCTCATATTCATAATATGATTCAATTTTTCTCTCTTCACCATATCTACCCCCCAAAAAAGAATTATATTTTCAAGGAATTTGTCTGTTACAAGCACTACACTATTTTATATAATATGAGCATTCAGTAACATTGGGGTTGTAGATCTTCCCTCAGAACCACCCAGCCTTTGTTCTGTGAATCAGGGGAGCAGCAGCTCCAATGATGTCCTGCTGTCACCTTCTGTCCCAGCCTCCTGCTGGCCTCTCTGCTCAGCCCCTTGATGGCCCTCATACAGAATCATCCACACTAGAATTAGGAAGGACATGAGCAATGTGAGCTCCCTCTTGTTACAGATAAGGAAAGTGAGACCCAGAGGTTTGGTAGCTTGCCCAGCAGTCCTCAGTGAGTCAGTGACAATGCAGAGATGGACTCTTCTCCAGGGCCAGTGCTTATTTCTTTATGCCACTTTCAGTCCACTTCCCCACACCACCACCCTCCCCAACCCCAGTACATCAGGCCAACCTTTGGCATATGTCACTCCCTAATATAAGGAGTCTTCCATATGTGCTATTATAATATTTGCATCAAAAAAAGGACCACCAGCTAATGACAGGCTGTGAATGACTAGAGAGGATAAGGTTCATTAGTCAGACTAAAAATCCTTTTCTTTTTGAGTCCCTTAGAAACTAGACTTTGAGCAAGGGCGGTCATTTAAAAGGGCAAGTCAGAAGAATTGTCAGCCCTCACCAGTGGAGACTACTATATATCTTGTATCGTATGGAGGTTTTGCTAAGAGGTGCCATTCGTCTTTAGAAATTCATGACATGTCACTTGACCCAAAGAAGTAAAACATCTTGAATTATGCCTTATCCTTGGGCGAGATGCCAGGAGGAAGACAGTGCTTGCTTGGTTAACATTTAACTGTCTCTCTTCCTGCAGAGTGACTTTTAATAAAAAAGTTTTCTGTGCTATATGTTCTGTAACCTAAAGATAAATTAAAAAGATACCTGATTTACAAGGAAGTATACTGCAAAGTGCAAAACCAATGCACCAACATAATTTCATGCTCCCCTTGCCACCAGCTTATTATTGCAAATTAAATTTTGTTCTAATCAACCCAAGCTATTGGAGTGTATGCCAAATGCTGCAAAAAAAAATGTATTCTTGCAATTTGTGGGTCGTGTGACTTCCGCAAAGATGCTCTTTGCTGCAGTTCTTACCAACTTTACTCAGTTAGGCTTTTGAGTGTGTTTCAAGTGCATTTAATTTTTGAAAATGTTCCGCTGCAGATTGCTCATTCACACCAGGAGAGTTTCCAAGTTAATTCAGCCCACTCTTCCTTGAAAGCTTCATCAGTATTGAAAATGATTAAGTTCAGCAAAGGATACTTTGATAGCAAAGTAAATGCCTTGAAACAGGATAGAAATGATAAAAACAAAAAAGGCATGAGAAGACGACCTTTCTTCATAGCTGCCATTTCTCCAAAGTGAGAAGGGACAACTACAAATGGATATGACAATGGAGATGCCGTTTCAAGAATTATTATTGTCATTATTATTATTACACTTTCCTAAGCAAAGGCAATGGGAGGTACAGCAAAGGCAGTGGGCAGTGGGATGAGATGGCTCAAAGTTGAAGGGAAGTGAGAAATCAGCTCGGGAAGAGACAGAGGAGCAGAAAGAGGGGCAGTGTTGCTACCTTCTTGCACAAAGGAGCAGTATTGTGAGGAAAGGACTAGGAAGAAGGGAGAGCACAAGGGTTACACCCTTCGGCCTTATCCTTGCCTCAGCTTGTACCAATGCTCTCCCCACCTCAGAAGACAGAGGGCACTGACTTCCCGATGGATGCTCCAGAAAGAGGACACATCCATCACAGGAGATAAAGACGGGTTAGCTACATCGGGCAAAAACTTAAGATAACACAACTTGTCCCAAATATTAAATTATAAAAAAATGTACACACTAAAGATAGAAAGGCAAAATTCTCAATTAGGTAATGGCAAGCTAGATCCTCAAAAGTGAGAAGTTGTTGAGTAAGGGAAGAAACTATCTAGTAGCATCTCCAATTTTATTTACCAGATAATTAGCACAGATCTTGCACCTTGAACTAGTTTTGAGAGACAATGTCTTATCCATGCCAATAGCTCTGATATTTAGGTGCTTTTTTCCCCCAGGACATTAGAAGCATGGCTTTAATTTCAAAACATATTTCAAAACAAATACTTGTATGTTTAGTAGCTCAGCTTTGAGCCATTCAACCTAATGGTACATTGTTTCGAATGCACACCATTCATCTGAGAGGACAGTGTCTCTGAGGAATTTCCTAAAGTATAAATCTAGAATCCATATGAAAGAAAGTTTTATGACTGAATCAAAACATGTTAGAGTCAGTCTTAAAGCTATCAGCTTCTTTTCTCTAACACCCAATGGAAAGTCTAATTCTTGGCCTAATGCCAAGCAAGGGAAAGTGTTCTTGGCAGCTGGGTGAAAAGTTTACCCAGTGTTGAGAGTTCCAGTGCCTTCCCTGCTCCTGGTTACTACACTTTTTGCCAATTCTAAATGTATTTCCCTTGTTCTTTGTGAGCACGTCACCCATTTTTTAAACAAGCTGTCTGCCTGGAGAGTATAAACCAGGAGTGTCTGCACCAATGCCTGCAGGCAGGCCAGCCCTGACTTTTGCAGGACCACAGCCTGTGGGCTGCCCCCACCCCGTGAGGTACCATGAGGACCTGGAGCACATGTACGTGGAGACCGCAGCCCACGTGTCCAAGTTCTGCCCACTCATATACCCCATCACCTCAGCCATGCTTCAGGGAAAAATATGCCCATCTGCAGCACTGTCATCCTTCTGGAGACAGTCATGAGAAGAGGTCCAGGCACACCTTGGAGGCAGGCAAGATCTATGTGGTCGCAGAATCCTAGAGTCCTGGTATCTAATGTGTGGTCTAGAAGGGAAACAAAGGCTCCAGTTGAATAAGTCCCTTTGGGCCTGTGGATTCCTCACTCTATGAAAAAAAATAAGTAAATAAATGAATAAATCAGGTATTTGCAAGAGGCATTGGGGAGTGGTCAGGGCTGTGGTGACCTGCAAACCACATATCAACTCCCCAGCTCCAGCTGACAAGCACCAAATATTTCAAGAGAAACTGGAAATCGGTATTTCTCTAAAATCTCCCTATTTATAAACATTGGCAATTAGTTTTAACAATTATTAAACAAAGTACAAGCCAGCACCGTGCAAACCCGGAGCAGCCCCTGGCCAGTGGTTATCTGTTCCAATCTAAGCCATCTCACCTGGCAGGCTGTCAGGGACTCCCACCTTCCCAAAGGGATACCCTCTCCCAGTCAGCACAGCAGTGATTTCCAGTGTGACTGGTGGGGATGAAATGGAAGCTTAACCTAAAAATTAATTATTTGACTTGAGCAAATACTGACTGAATTCTATGTACCCATTTATATGTGATCCAGAAGAATGGGTCAGGGATCCTGGAAATTAGTGCATTTAAAAGAAAAAAAAATTATACACAGTATTTAGTCACTTTATGATGCTTTACTATACTATTCTAAAAGAGCACTGTTGATGCCCTACCCAGGAAGGGTTTTTGGAAAGAAGCCAGTTTCATTTGGATCCAGAGCCAAAGGATGTGGGGTAGCCTCAAAGGCAACCATGCTACCAATTGTCCAGTGTCAGGGACCCAGAACAAGCCCAGGAGCAACTTGGAAATCTTCTTAACTCCCTGATTTTAAATATCCTCATTTTGCTAAAGATAAAGAACTTTATTCTGGGATTGAAAGAAAAGTCCAAAAGCAATAGCAAAGTATTCTATTAATGCATTTGACTCTTTCACTTGCCCCAAGACCACTCATGTTGACTTAGTCAATGATTTTCTTTCTCTCTCTAGAACCTGTGGCAAAGCCACTCCCAGCCATTTACTGCAAAAACAGATAATTTTTCTTTGTTGCTGATTTACTGACAACTACAGCTCTCAACCCCCTAAAATGTGACAGCCAGAAAATGAGATCTCTCTTGTCACTGCCTATGACATTTAGTTACTGATTTGGTCCAATAACTCGGGGAGATTTTCAATTTAATGTAGCAGCATAATAATTGTTTGTTTTTCTTCTTCCTATCTCTAATCACTTTATTTCCAACTTGTACAAGGACTGATAAAGGACATGTGCTTCACCAAGACAATAACAACTTGTCTTTGGATGATGTTTTCCAGCAGGGAGGATACATTTTACAGGCAGAAGTTTTAAATTGTGGTTGAAAAGAGGGAAAGGCTTTGACTTTGACAGTCTGTTCTTTTATGACCTTAGCACATTTCCTACAGATAGCAAGCATCCATTTTTTTCTTTTATTAAAACCTGATGAATTAGATCTTAAAAGAAAAATCAAATTTACCAAATAATAATAAATAGCAGCCTGAGTCTCATTCATTCTGTGATTACAAACAAGAAAGAATACATTTTTGTAAGGCTATGTCTTAATCTGAGTATGTGAATAAAGGCAGTTCTTTCTGTAGGTATCAATGTAACAAAACATCTCTTATAGTCTCTGTTCTTTCTCCCTGGCTTTTCCATTTCAAAATTGAATTGCAGCTTATAAAGTTGAGAGCCCTTTGTGGAGCTTTTGCTAATTATTTTTAACTTGCCATATGAGACAACTTCCACATTTCTAAATAGGAGACCATATGTAGAGACCAAAAAGGAATCATTAATGCTGATTATTTTCCATCTTATTGTTCCTCTGTTCCATAAACATCTTTTGAACACACTAATCAAATTGTAAGATGGAAATGAAACAGTCTATTTCTAATTACAGTATTCTAGGTACCTGCATCAGATCTTTTCATCAGAGTGCCAATACCTAGGTATTAAATTAAAATGACAAAATTCTTTCTGGATGACAGATCAATCCTTATTTCAAAACCTGGTTTCTCTTGACTGCCAACTCTCTATCATTTCTCCATGTAAATATGCCTGCTTTCTTATGAAAGTATTGGTTTGGTTTATCTGGTTGATAATAGAGTATATTTTGTAATACTATGGACTGTAAATGAACAAGTCCTCCAACACCTCCTTAGAGATTAAAATTTGTAATTCCTTTGCCTGATATCATTATTAGCTTTGATCCTAGAGCAAGCAAACTACTTTTTTCAATGAAAACCTCGATTGTTTTATTTATTCCTTTAAACTACTTCATTAAGATATGGTTGATATACAAAAAGCTGTGCAAACTACTTTTAAGAGTATATTTCCCACATACATGAAGTGAATTAACACTTCTAGGCTAGCGGAATATCTAATTACAGAAACAGAACTATAGCTCTTTAGAAAAATTTATGATAGGTTACTTTACATAGACATTTCCTGGGCTGTTAGCCCTGCTTAAAATACACCCTCAGCAGCATTTCTCAAAGCATGGCCTTGAAACTTGATCCATATTCCTGTGCCCAGTCTTGCCTAGACCTACTGAAATACCTTTCCATGAGGGGGTCGGGGGAGGCCTGAAGATGTATATTTTCTACAAGTTCTTTAAGTGATTCTTATGTGCCATACAGTTTACAATCCTGTCTACTTGTTCCATGATCATCGTCATTAAATAATTATTATACAGCTAAGAAGCTCATTATCTAAAACTTGGCGTTGTCCCAGGAGTTTGCAATCTTCACAAGAAGAACATATAAATAAGTAGCAGCGCAAAGGAGGCTGATGAGGGGTTTAACCTGTATTTGCTATGAAGATTTAAACTGGGCCAAGACCTGGGGACTCCATACCTAGGTTTGTAGCTTTCCAAATGCTCTGTGTATCTAAGGGAAAGAGCAGCCAATCAACCAGGCTTGTAACAACACCAGTGTCTAGGACAGTGCCTAGTACGCAGGAGGTATTCATTAAGAGCCTTGTCAAATAATTGAGTGGCTGTGTATGGTATGTATTCCAGGGGAGCCCTGCCCAGAGAACGGGAGGAGTCCAGGCTCTGTGTCAACCCACCACAGCTCTCCACGCAGTGACTACGCAACCTACACCAACAGCAACCACGCAGCCCCCAGCAGCAACGCCTCTCCTCCTGAAGGCTTTGCCTCCCACAGCCTGCAGACCAGTGATGTGATCATTCACCGCAAAGAGAACGAAGGCTTTGGTTTTGTCATCATCAGCTCCCTGAACAGGCCTGAGTCTGGATCCACTATAAGTAAGTGTCTGATTTGCCTGTGTTTGAACAAGGGGTCTTGTTTTTATTTATTCTGGTGGTCGGGATACTGGACAAGTAAAGCAGAGGACTGTTGTAGACACACTGTGTAGCCTGAAAGTCGCAGGCAGTGGGCACAAATAAGGCCTCCTTCATACTGACTAGCCAATCATGGCTGACCTTTGGCTCAAGAAGAATGCAAGAACACAGCCAATGCCCCCCCAACCCCTCGACCCCTATAGAAGCTTTTCATTCATTTGTAAATGGGGAAGAAAATAAAACAGAGTGATGTAGTCATATTGCTATGAAAGGAGGGGTGCTCCTTTTTATGGGCTGGTCAGAGAATGCTTCTCTACGGAAGTAAAATTTTGATTGAAAGCTGGTCAATAGAATGAAACCAGGCATGCAAGGATCTGGGGAAAATCAGTCCAGGCAGAAGCCTTAAGGTGGGAAGGAGGTCAGCCTTCAAGAAATATACAGAAGCCCAGTGTGGCCGTGGCACAGTCAACAAGGGAGCGTGGCACAAGAACAAGACAGAACTAGGCAGGAGCCAGACATGCAGGCTTCATAGGCTATCAGTGAGCAGTCTCAGCTGTAGTCTAAGTCCGTGGCAACCACTGGAGGGTTTTCAGCAGTGGACTGAAATCTGACTTATATTTTTAAAAGATGGGTCCAGCTGCTTGTGGAAATCGAAATCGGCAGGGAAAAAGGGGGAACAAGAGTGGGAGCACAGGACACAGTCAGGAGACTTGTGGGTCCAGAGATCCGGTGCCTTCCCCAGGGTACGAGCAGTGCGGTAAGGGGAGAAGCAGATAAATGCAACTTCTCAGGCTCCTCCAACCCTCAGGTTCTATGAGTCTGTACAACAGGTGACAGTCAGAGGCCACATTTCTCTTCCAACAGGCCATCTTAGTAGACTCTCAGGCTTCTTTGGTTGTTTTTCTTTCTGCAACACTATTTCAGAACTCGTTCAGCACCCTGCAAGCAGTAGGACAGAAGAAGGGATAGGAAAACTTGTGCATTGTTCATGTTGAAGTGGTTTGGCCCAAAATGTTGTGAATAGAAACCCCAGAATAAAGGAACATTAAGAGAAAAAGAAATAAATAATTGCATCCATGTTGTAGTCCTAAAATTTTTATAAACCGTGGTAGTTTTCAGCACATGGAGATAGGGGAAGGGTGAGTGTCAAACAGTACTCAAGAAATGAAATTATTGAGAAGGAATAAGAACTTTCTAAGATAAAGGTAATGCTATCAAAAAACCACCAGAACTACATGAAGAGAATTGCCCCGTTTAGCTTTTGCCTGGAAAAATTCAAGAGTGAAAAGTATAGAAGCGTTAAACCTCGGCGAATATGTGCAGAAGCCAAATTACATCCATCTGAAAGTACAATTTCATTTCTCTCTTTCTTCTTGATAAGCTGAAGAAATAAATCCAATCTTTAAGCATAAACTAAAAGCAGATTTCTGTCAGTACGATGGATTCACCAAGATTAAAAGGACACAAGACTAAAGATTTTCATGAATTATATAAACAGCCTTCCAATAATTTACACTTGGGGAAAATGTTCACAGAGAGGTTTTGCAGCTATGCCAGTCTTTCAAATTGTTTATTGGGGCGGAATACCTAAAGGACTGGAATAAAAATAAAAAAGTGTGCTTCCACGGTGAAAGTGTTAAGCATGCATTCAAAGTCTCAACTTTATTTGAAGCTTTATTTCTAAATGTATAGGGGAATGTGTGTGTGGTGTGTACAACATGCATGCACTTACTATGTAAAGAAACCACAAATACTTTTTCTGTGGCAAATAAAATCTGTGCATAAGTAGATTTGGAAGAGAACAAGTGCAAACGTTTATAATTAATATGTGAATTTTTCTTCCTACCAAGTGACATCAGACTGACTTCACAAGAACAATTCTAACCACTTTCAAAATGGTATTACTTTACATCACCCTGGAGAGTGGAACTATATCCTAGAGTTCATAATGCTTCATAACTCCTTTTTTCACATATTTGTTTCGTTTCAATTTAGGGAATTAGAAACACAGGTTGCCCCATGCTCTGTAGCAAAAGCAGCTATTACACTGATGGCACATTGCATTTACAGTCTATAATTTGTAACATGCACCTAAAAGCTTCCTGGAGCTGATGCTGCTTCATACTTAACATCTGTGATAATTTTGAACTCTAATTTCGAGGAGAAATGCTAAGTGCCTCATGAATGGAAAAGAGCCATCCTTGTGCCATGATATCCACGGTCAAAAACATCAAGGGTTCTGGGGCTCTGTGAGACTAAGAGAGGGTTATGCTGTCGGGTGCTCAGGAATCACAGTCATCATCAGGGCTTGTGTCCTTTTTCTCTTCATATCTTACCTGAGTCCAAGGACCATTAATGTATTCACTGGCTGTTTTCATGGCTACTAAAGCCTTTTCTTGGTGAACGAAGTGCTGTTTGCGTTTGACAGTAGCACCATTACATTTAGGCAAGGGTGGTGTGGTTCACAGCCTGGGTGCCACATACTGCCTGGATTTGAAACCTGGCTTTATCTTTTACTAGCCACGTGGTCCTAAGGAAGTTACATAACCTCTTGGGGCCTCAGTTTCCTTGGTTGTAAAGAAAAGATCATTTTAATCCTTAGGTGATGGGGTTGTGGTAAGAGTTAAATGAATTAATACATAGAAGTGTTTAGAGCAGCACTGGCTCAGAATAAGCACTAAATATTTCATTGCTGCTGTCTAGAGCACCATCCCTGCTAGGAATATCTTTCCATTCACCAGCTCACTCTTCTTGGATAGCACAGAGTTCACACTGGCTGTCAGTTCAGTTAGCCATTAGTCAGAGCCAACCACCCTCCTCCCAGGGCAGCTAAATCTGGGCAGCAGATGAGCATATCTCTGAGGGCAGCTCCCCTTGTCCTCCCTTTCCCCATACACTGACCTGCGAGCACAGTGTTTCCCACCACCCCACCACCTGCAGCGCGGGTCAGCGGTGGGGGCAGCTGAAGCGCTGGCAGCCAAACCAGGCCAGCTGAATGTGCCTTTGCTGAGGCTTCAAGCTGGAATGGCAAGTTCATCACTCCAGAATTCATAAGCCAAAAAACTAGAAAAGCCATGGAAAACATCAAAATTTAGACTGGAAGCCATGCCTTTTAGAATCTGCCTGCAAACATTATGACACTATTGAATATTATCAGTGAAGAGGGGAGAGATGAAGAACCCAAATGTCAACTTTCCCTCCCTGTGGGTAGAGATACTTTCTATAGCTTCTTCAGCCATGCACCAACTTTGCCAGGGGTGGGGCATGTTCAACTAATTGAGAAATTGGGAGATGGGGTTCTGGGCTTATTTATCGCCTGGTATTTAGTAGTGCTGTTTACCAAAGCCTCACATATTTGTTTTCAAAATATTATTTCCCCAAAAAATAAAAAGGAACTTTATACCAATCAAGGTAATGAAGCAACAAACTGCTTTCTTCCGAGGCCAGTGACTCAGAAGGCCAACCATTGCTTGGGAGTAGACAGGTCTTAGAAGCCTCCTATCTGTAGTACAGAAAAATCCTTCTTAATTTAAAGTGAGAATAAGACAGCTTCCTGAGCTTTTTGTCCCATTATCCAAAGTCTCAAGTATTTGTTTCAGAACTTAAAATTGGGCCCAAGGGAAAACAAAGTGGTTTCCAGACCAGAGTTTAGGGTAAGAATGAACTATAACAGGCAATTGCATTTCAAATTCTTAAAAATATTTAAACAAAGATTTATATACAGAGATGTTCATTGCCATAGTATTGTTAAACATAGAAAACTAGAAATAATGCCAAAATGGGTAACTTTGGACTATTTGGGAAGTTCAAGGCATTTCCTGGCATTGACTACTTGTCACTCTCACTGAGGTCTGTGTGCACAGGAGAAGACTCAGGTAGCCTTCTGACCCTGTGTGGATCAGATGCTTGCTCTATAAATTGTCCCAGGGGCTTTGTGCAGTGGAGTTGATAGGCTGGTCCTTGGGTCTCCCCAGCTCAAGCCCTCAGTCCTGACATCAGGTTTTATTGCAAAGCTGTAACCTGTCCTTATAGGTGCTTCCTACCTCCTCACCAAACCTGCTTTCCCACCAGAGGTTCCCAAGAAGGGCTTTGGTACAAGTGATGAAATAAAAGAGACCCTTAGTTTCCACCTTTTCTATACTGTGTCAAGAAGGTAATGTTGGAATATATGGGGTAGACATACATGGCAGCTTGGACATCACTGTTGGAGACTGACAGCCTGTTGAGAGAATTTCTAAACTTAGATACAGGCCTATAACAAGCCATGAGTTAGAACATATTCAGGATCGCAGCTGTAGCACTAGTCTAAACAGCCAATGGTGGGGGAACAAATATTTCATTCCTTCCTTCCTTCATTCCTTCCTTCCTTCATTCCTGTTCTCCCAGTGGTGCTGATTTGATTGTCTGTCTCATCAGCTCTGTCTCTGAAGATCTTTGTTTCCATGTGTGTCCTTTCCCCAGTAGCGGTTGGACTTTGGCTTGGTCATCCTGACTTCTTCCCCTAAGGCCACTGTGATGTTCAGGGAAGGAGTTGGTTATCTGTGGCAAAATGCCCTGATGACTTCCTCAAAGTCTTCATGGTGTCCATAGGCTATGGAGTTTAAAAGTTATTGTAGAGATTCAAAATCTTAGCTAGCAGGTCTTTTATGACATTTTAAATCATGGTCCCTAAAAAGGATGAAATAAAACTGGAACTAGTGGTAAAGTTAGTATTTTTCCCACCAAAACTCACCTCACCAACCACGCAACCACTGAATAATCCTTGAATTTAGGGAAGGCACAAAGTAAAACAAATACCTGACTTTAAGCTGTACTACCAGGCTGTAGTGATTAAAACAGCTTGCTACTGGCACAAAAATAGAGACATTGACCTCTGGAACAGGACTGAGAATCCAGAGATGAAACCATCTGCATATGGTAATCTAATCTTTGACAAAGCTGACAAAAACATACACTGGGGAAAA